ACTCAGACACATAAAACTTACTAGCTGTGTGACTCTGGGCAAGTCACTTAGCCCCAATTGCCTCACCAAAAAAAAAAAGGATAAATAATAATGGTGATGATGATATATCATATTTATATAGGGCTTTACAATTTACATAGGGCTTTTCAACAGCCTTGTTAGTTATGTATTACTAGTTTTCATCAGATAATAAAAGTAAGGCTCAGAAAGGCACAATGACTTGTATATGGTCACTCAGCTAATGTGTCACACAGTCAGTACTCAATGACCTCACAATGCCTGAAATCAAGGTTCTATGTTCTACCACCTACACCACAATTCCTTTCATTGAAGATATCACAAATTATGAAAGTTAAGTAGAATATGAGAATTTGGGAGTGGGGGAAGGGAATGACCTTAATCTAATGACTCTCCTCCTTTTCCCACCATTTCTTTCCTGAATTCCTGGTAATCTATCTTCTGTCCCTTACGCTTTATCCTGATTCTTCTCTTAACTCCCTAAGGACTTCTGTGTATGAATCATTGACCTTTCCTTTTTTCCTTTAGATGGGTGTTGTTCATGGCCCTTTTCACTTCTCCTTCTTGTGTAGGGTCTGAGTCTTGTCAGCTGTATTTATTCACCATACTTCCATCATTAATGGTCTATAGGTGACTCACACATCTATAGTTTCAGCCTTAGCCTCTCCCCCAAGCTCTAGATGCATATCTTCAGCTGCCTACAGAACATCTCTACCTAGATGTCCTATTGGCACCTCACAGACAACAAATCCCAAACTGAGTTTAATATGTTTTCCTCCAAACCTCATTCTTATTTTTGGATTTCTGTCCATGGTACCACCACTTCCCTAGTTTTACTTATTCAAAATCTTTATGTTATCTTTGACTCTTTCATCTCCTTCATCTCACATATCTGGTCAGCTGGAAAATTTCATTGAACTTACCATCACAATATCTTTGATATTGAGTGCCTGCTCCCCCACCCCATCCCCACATACAGCTTTTTCTACTCTAATAATGTTTTTTCCTTCTGAGTCTAGCATTTCATAGCAATAGTTTGCAATAGTTTGTATGACAGTGTTTCTTCCCCCACTCTCAGCCTTCCTAACAATCAATATGACTTCTCTGCTCCAATCCTTCCAGTGCCTTCCTATTGCCCACCAAGAAAAATTCATAGTCATTGACTTGGCAATCAGAGTCTTCCAAAGTCTGGTGCCACATATTATTTCCATACGTATACTCTTTGCTTTAACCAGATATGGCCAGTTGTTAGGCTCAAAGAAAAATTCTTTTCTCATTGCTAACTTATTCATCAGCAAATCTAACCATTTCAATGTATGAAGAAAAACAATAAAGAGGCTTTTATTTAAAAAAATGTGAGCTTCATGTGTAATTTTAAAGGAAGTATATGTATATATATTCATGCATGTATGTTTATTTATATGTATGGGTATATGTATAAATATACATACATAGGGTCACAATGTATACATACATATGTATATGTACAAGCATATATTTATATATCTACATATACATATGAAAAGGCATAGATATCTCCCTTTCTCTCTTTAGATCTCAGTATCCTCTTCACATATATGTTAATGTGTATACATACTGAGAGAGATATATTCAGGGCATACCAAACTTAATGGAGATTTAAGCTATCAAAACTTAAAACTGCACTAAGACTTCTGAGACATATAATATCTATTTCAACAAGGAAGTGACAAACCTGAACTATTCTATCTGGTCCTATTCCCACCTTCTTCTTCTTCTTCTTCTTCTTCTTCTTCTTCTTCTTCTTCTTCTTCTTCTTCTTCTCTTCTTCTCTTCTTCTCTTCCTCTTCTTCTTCTTCTTCTTCTTCTTCTTCTTCTTCTTCTTCTTCTTCTTCTTCTTCTTCTTCTTCTTCTTCTTCTTCTTCCATGCTTGTTACTGATGCTTCTTGTTTTTGCATATCTATCACTATTCAATAATTGACCATTCCCACACCAATCCAAGTGGAGTCCCTTCCTTATAATAAGTATGTATAGTCCAGCAAAACCAATTAGCATATTGCCTGTGTCTGAGAATGCTTCTGTCACTCTGTATCTCTAGTCCATGGTCTGTCTGTCTAAAGAGGAATGTCTTATTTCATTGCTTTTCTCACACCTTCCCCTATACCTAGAATGCCGTTTCCTCTGCCTTCATTGGATTCCTTTAAATGCCTAGTGTCAACAGGCAATCACAACTTCATGAAACTCAGTGAAAACTAGGTTTATTACAAGAGAAATGAATGTGTATGTGGAACCCAAAGAGTTCACAATCCCTACAGAAGCTTGCATTTTCATAATAACAGGACAAAGGAAGGAGGAGATACCGTAAAATCTCCACCAAAAGAGGTGTGTGGTGGGAAGGGGAAATGTGCAGTAAAGGTGGGAAAAAGACAAAACCCCTCCCAAAGGGGAGGAGCAGGGTGATGGCAAAAGCCCCATTCTTTTCCCTTAGGAACTGCTGGCCTATGAAGATCAGATGGTCTGTTTATCTACAAGTTCCAGCTGCACAGGTGGTTTCTCAGCCTAGCACAGACTGACTGGCTCTTGTCTTGCTTTCTAAGAATGCACAGGGAGTCTAGTGTGGGATGCAAACAACCAATTTTGTCAGCTGCTTCATTGTTGACACATTCTGGGCTTCCTGTGCAGTCTGGGTTCAGTGTTTCTGGAAAATCTGGCAACTAAAAAGCCAAGTTCAGTGAGCCCCTTAACAATCCTTAACACCTCTCTTGTCATAAACCTAGTTTTCCTATAGGTTTTGTGAAGTTGTGACTGCCTGTTGACAGCAGCTAACTGAAATGATCTCTGATTTGGGATGCTTTCTGTTATCCCTTCAGCTGATAATAATTTTCCCCACTAGGACCTAACTCATTTACATTTTTTCTCTTCTTCACTTATCATACATTACTTTGAATTTTAGTTGTTAGGGTATCTGTCAAATCCCATAAAATCACAGAACATTTCTTCTCTAAATTTTGTACCACCTTCCTCTAAGACTGCAGACTATAAGAACTGCAGTAGCCCTTCCCCATTTGGTTAAAGAAAGAAGTCCCAGGGAAGCTCAAAGCCCCCTGAGTTGTCCTGTCAAAAATAAGACCAGCAGTAACAGCCAAAGGCCCCTTTCATGTTGGTGGGTGTTGGTATAGCAGCTAACCATCATTCCCCCAAATCTCCCTCCTCTTCTCCTACTAGTATGAATTGGCCCCAGTCCCCAGGTGCAGGCTCCCTTCTCCCTTCTGCCAAAGCATGCTACTGCTTGACTCGAATAAGAACCCCATAAAACCCACCACACTTTATTGGTTTTGAGTGCCCAACTTCACCCTGGTCCCACCTGACCTGACCTATTTCTGACCTTCCTGACTGTTCTTTATTGTAAGTATGTCCCCTCAATAAAGCTGGTTTGCTATATACTCTATAGTTCCTTGTACTGGACTATTGGTATCCTAAACCTTACCAACCCTGTACTGAGACAACAGTAAAGTGCTCAGTATACAGGAAGTGCTTAATAAATATTTGTTGACTTAGACTTAATTTAAGTATTCTCTTCAGCTTGTTATTTTTGTCAGACATTATCAAGTTTAGTAATTACATTTAAAAATTAAATATAGGAATCCATTGAGGACATCGTTTTTTGTGATGAATTTTCACTTGAAAACACCACACAAATGAATGAAGAAAAAGTGGTTACCAGATCTGGTTAACTAAGCCAGCTTCCAGAATTGTGTCATGCCTCTTTAGACGCATGTTGTTATGATCAAGATAAATTTATGGCTGCAAATACCATTCAGCATTTGAAAGAGATGGAAGCCAGCTGGAAAAGGAACTGGACGTTTCAAGAAATTGACTAACCTGGTCTGGTGTTGTTGCCATATGGCACCAATGTGGTGGAAACAGATTTTTTTTGTTCACCTTTCATGAAGTAAAATCATTGGCAGAGTACATAGCTGACATTTTCAAGGGAATGACATAGAAGAAAGAACTTCATTTTTATTTTAATACAAATATTATGGACTTTTTTGGTCCATCAATCATCTAAAAGTCCTCTTGTTCATTGAGGGTGAGATGAGAGGTAATTAGATATTTTGAACAGTACTGGTCTTGCTTCCAATACTGGGCATTCTTGTATTCCTACTGTTGCTCATAATGGACCAGTTCCTACTTTGAGGGCCTTCAGTCAAAGCTAGGTGAGGCATAATACCTTCATCGGTTGTGTCTCAAACTAACCTTCATTTTTATATTTTTATAGTCTTTTAATGAGGCATTTGCAATTCATGCTATTCTCTTTTGCCTATTCTTTTGACAGGCAGTACCCTAATGAGCTTTAAGAACCTTATGCTTTTGTAATATAAGTCGATGTGGTTGTTCCTGAAGAGGGGTAAAGGGCATAGGCTACCAGTAAGCTACAGTCCTCACATGCCCTTTCTCTGTCTCCTTTCCCCATTCCTTTCTGTAACTAGAGATGTAATAAGGCTTGCCTTGATAGAATAATTAGCTTATTTTAAGCATAGGGGTGATATGATGGCCTCTTAGACCCATAGTGGCTTTCTTCTCTATTTCCTTAGGGAGTTAATATTCAATGAAACATTAGGAATATTATCACAATGACTCTGAGCCCCATTTAGAAATGTTACTAACATTTAGGCAGAGGTTTGGGTCTCTTAATTTAAATTTGTTTTTGTTTCTAGCTAACCCCTGATCTTTTTGTGGTCAAGGGAAATTACAGTTACTGGAAATATTTGGGTAAAAAAGCAAACAGAGTGTATTATAATGTTTGCTAATAGACATTGCCAAGGGGAAAAGTCGTTGTGGAGAAGGCCACCACCTTCCTGTCACTAGCAGCAACAGCTGTTAGCCAACTGCTACCAAATGTTGGACAGGTATTGGAAAGAGACAGATTATGTCAGCTGGTGGTTGTCTCTCTCTGTTTCATCAAGTGTAAATAGAGGATATGACAGCAGCTACCTCAAAAGGTTGTTGTGAAGATCAGCAACTGCACCTATCTCCTCCAGGGCTAAAGTTCTTAAAAGAGGGTCTGACCTTTCTCCAACTTCTGTTCCTGGTGAATGAGTGAGTCAATAAATGGATAAGGTATTTATTAAGTGCTTCTTATGGATAATGGTACTGATAGACAAGCAAGATAGTGGGGGGGGAGGGTAAGGGAGAGGAGTAAGCATTTATTAAGCACCTGCATATGCCAGACACTGTTCTAAGTGTTTTACAAATGTTATCTCATTCAATCCTCACAGGGCATGACTAAGTGGAACAGACTTCCTGTTGCACCTAATTGAAATATCTTTGACTGATTGAATGATTTATTCAAGAAGTGTTCTCACTTGACAAAGGTAATTATGCTTAAATGGGGTATAATAAGCAATGGCCCCCCACTACCATTAAAACAATGTATTTTTAAAGTTCCAGAATACTCAGAGTACACTTAATCCTTTTTATTTTCTATTTTTTCTTTAATTGAACTCTTGTCTATCCAGCCTCAAATTAGAGGAAAATGGAAACAACAGACTTACTTTACCTTCAGTAATCTGAGTATCAAGATTAAAATATATTTATCCCTTTGATCATTATGATAATTCCTCCCAGCAAAATTTCCAAAGATTAGTGTGATTCATAACCTAACAGAATCACCTTATAAATAAATAAAAATAAATAAATAAATAAAAATAATATACTAACATATATATATAATATACATACATATACATACATACATACATATATATGCATATATATATATATATATATATATGCATATATATATATATTAAAGCATCTGACTGAAATTGTCAACTTTGGGTTTGTATTGGAATGGCACACTAAAGCCCCAAACTAGGTTGCTCCTGAAGAGTCAATAGTTTGAATAGCTCCCATGTAACTACATTTGATTAAAAGCTCCTTGAGGTCAGGGATTTTTTTTTACTTTTCTTTGTATCCCTAGTACTTAGCACAGTGCCTTGCACATACTAAGCTTAGTAAATGTTTGCTGACTGACTGAGGTGATCTTCCCTTTTCCAGGAGAGGCAGTTACCAATGAGGTGAGTGGGACCTCAGAACTTAATACCTCCAGAGCATGGTCTCTGCTGTGGGTAGCAAGGTAATTGAAAAGGAGGTGGAGGCAGCCAGAGATGGATGAGTGAAGGGATGCATATCTGGGGTTTTCCTGAAATAGCTTTCCATTACCCATGACTTGGTGGATGGCCAAAAGATTATCTTGTCTACTGCTTGAAAATGTCAACTATCTTTCTCTACTTCACACTCTAAGAAACAAAATATACCATCAGCAAATGTCTGTTAAATTGATGAATAATTATAGTAGCTAGCATTTATATAGTACTCACAAACATGATCTCATTTGATCCTCACAAACAATGTTGGGAGGTAGATATTATTATCCTCATTTTACAGATGAGAAAACTGTGGCAGAGATTAAGTGACTTGCTCAGGGTTACACAGCTAGTAAGTGTCTGAGGCAAGATTTGAACTCAGGTCTTCCTGATTCTAGGTCCACCATTTTATTAACTGTGTCATCTAACTGCCTAGATGAATTGAATTTTATACTTCTACAGATTTTTCATTAACCAATTAGTTGAATCTGAAGGAAGATGAGGATTGCTTACAGGCAGAGAGCTGAGGGATTGGATTTCAGGAATGGAGGGCAATCAGCTTAGGAGAAAGAACACTGAGCTCAGATTAAATAGTCAGTATTCATGTTTGTTTGGAACCTAGACTTGTTGAAAGTGAGTAATGTGAGAAGTAACATGAAATAAGAAAGGAAGAATAACCCAGATCCAGACTGTGGGGTCCTTGAATGCCAGAATCAGAAAAACACCCGAAAGAGTCATCACATTTTCTGAATAAGAAAATGGTCAGACTTGTGTCTTGGGAAGATTATTTTGGAAGATGTATAGAAAGAAGATTTGTAAATTATTCAGAAGAAGGAATAGATAGGCTGCTTGATTAATTTATAGATTACATAAAACTGGGAGAGATACCTACTATGTTGAATGTCAGCATAAGTACAGAAATATCTCAGTAGAGTAAAAAGTAGATTAAAATAAGATGAAACTTAATGGGAAGAATTGTAAAGCTCTACTCATGGGTTAAAAATCAATGTAATGCATTGTTGCACCTCTTCCGTCAGTTGTCCCCCAGTTTGCACTTGTCACTTGCTGTTTCGGGTGTCCAGAGGGTGGCTGACTATTATTACTTTCAAGGTTATAGGGCTAACCATTCAGAGCTGTGTTTCTAGTACTATTGTTGTTCCTGAGCCCCTACTAGTTATCTCCCCATTAACAATCAGTCAATCAGGCTTAGTTAGCTTTTAGAAAAGGTATAGCAAGAACAGTCGGTACAAAATATTGGACTCCAAATCTGGAGTGCTCTTTGCCCCAAACACAAAGGATCAGTTGGAAAGGTGAGGTTAAACTTATAATACAATGATAATGAGGCACATGTGTGGGGAACAAATGTAGTAAAGCCTTCTTTACTACTTCCCAAGCCTTCACCTGGCAAGTCCTTTAATCTCTTTGTGGAGTTCTCTTGATGTTTCCTTTAGATGTAATTCTGCTGGGCTTTGAGAGATGATCTTTTTCTAGATTCTGTGGCTGACATTTATCTCCAAGAAGAGGGAGTCACATTCCCTAAAGCCCCCACCACCCTCAGGTGACTGCCTTTCTACATCCATCCACAGCTGTCTCCACTGCTGTTGGTTCTCACCATTCCATTGAAGACTGATTCTGGCTTCAGGAATCACTGCCACTGACACCATTCCTTGCTGATCAATAACGGAACCTTTCATGGTATTTTTGGATCTCCCAACCCACTCAGTATCCTGGGAACTTATATAGTGGAATATTCTTTCACCAGACATCAAGAGACAGAGGTGGCCATGTGGCCACAGCTGCAATGACCAGGTAAGAGATAGGGCCACTGCCCTTTCTCCAACACCTGGGGGAGATGGTGCAAAGTAGTTCTGTTTCCCCAGAACCACAAAGGAAAGAGTAATCAGAAGCAGGTTGACCTTTTTGTATAACAACTGTGTTCCAGCTCAGCCACCCATTCTGGCTCCACAGCCAATTAAAAGTCTTTTTATTATCACACATCAGAAGCTCCTCAGTTATACCTCGATGGAAAATGGCTCCCTACAGCTTTCTATATGCTTGATTGAACTGGAACCAAGGAGGGAATGTTGGTGCACTCTCTGTAGGAACAAATGTGAAATTCCACACCAGAAGGGAGGGGCATGGCTTGGTGAATAATTCTTGTAAACAAAAAGGTCTGGTGATGCACAGCTGGTCTTCAGGTTCAATAAGAGGAACCAATACGGCATGGTAGTCCAACTTGCTAATGCTGCCTATCTAAGGTTCTATCATACAAGTCATGGTATTCCCAATGAAGGAGCTATTTAATTCTGGGCCTCATGCTTTTGGCAAGATAGAAGAGCCAGTGTGCATGTGGAAGCAAAGAACTCAAGTCCCTTGCATGTAAGGATAGGTTGAGGGAATTGGGCATGTTTCAAGAAAAAGGAGACTCAGGGTGGTGGGAAGAGAACATGATCTGTCCTCAAATATTTCTAAGTCTGTCAAATAGAGGAAGGATTAACCTTGTCCTGTTTGGCCTCAGATGGCAGAATGAAGGACCATAGGTGGATGTTTCAAAGAGGCTCATTTAGGCTTGATACCAGGAAAAGTCTCCAAACATTGAGAGCTGTCCAAAAGTGGAATGCACTTCCTTGAGAGGAGGTGGGTTACACCTCCTTGGAGGTGTAAGCCAAAGCTAGATGACCACTTGTGTCAGGTTTTTGACAGTGGGTAGTCTTTTGTTGTATGGGCTAGATGGCTGTTGACTAGGTTCCTTCCAGCTCTCAAATTCCTCTGATTCTATGAAGAATTTTCTTATAATGAAACTAAATCTCCTCTGAAATATCCTCCACTTATTCTTCTTGGCTCTGCTATATGTAACCAAATGTAAAAAGTTTGATCTCTGCAAGACAACTTTCCAAATGCTTGAAGACGGGGATCTTCTCCCCTCTACAATCTCTATCATTCTGTAACACCAGCTTTCTTGTTGTTCCTTGCACATAACCCTCCATCTGTCCCTCATGCCTGGAATTCTCTCCGTCCTTATCTCTGCCTAATGACTTCACTGACTTTCTTCAAGACTCAGTTCAAATTCCACCTTCTGCAGGTGTTTTCTGTTCTCCCACTCCCCCTTTACCTTCACTAGTGCCTTACCTCTGAGACTATGTTCAATTTAGTCAGGATAAGTACCTAGTTATCTATATTTTCTCTCTCATATCAGAATGGGAGTTTCTTGAGGTCAGGGTTTTTGCTTTTTGATAAATCTCTAGGACTTCCTACAGTGCCTGGCATGTAACAAGCATTTAATAAATACTTGTTGACTGATTGACTCTAGTCTAAATCTGTTTAATTCCTTCAACCTATCCTCATTGTTTTCTAGACCATTTGATAGCCTGATTACCAAGTCTTTTGATATTGAAGGACAGAATCAGACAATGTCAAAGTTAGAAGGGACCTCACAGGTCATGTAGTTCAGAATGCAACTGAAAATAACCCTCTCTGTCATACCCTATCCAATAAATTGTCATTCAACCTTTGCTTCAATATATATTGAATACTATAAGGATGGTAGGGGGAGAGCCAAGATGGCAGAATAAGAACAGGAACTCACCTAAACTCTCCCAAATCCTCTTCCAAACAACTTTAAAATAATTCTTCAAATTGAATTCTGAAGTGGCAGAACCAAAATCAGGTGAAACAATTTTCCAGCCCTAGATAACTTAGGAGGTTGGCAAAAAAGGTCTGTTTCACCAGAGTGGTGCTTGGCATGGAGCACAGTGCAGTTTCTGTCTGGCACCAGCAGCAGGCCTTGGAGATGGCTGAATCATCATCAGTTACAGCTTTGGAAGCTCTCAGCCCATAGACGGTAAGGGGGTCAGAAAGAGATTACGGGGACCCTTTGTTGGCTCTGGGTTCAGGACCCTGTTGCATTGCCCATACACAGTCCCAGGGTGAAAAGGAGCCCTACTGATCATGGTTGCAGTGCAACAGGGGTCCTGGTCACAGTTCCAGAGTGGAAAAGAGTGCTTGTAGTCACCCACAAAAGAATATGGACCCTGACCTTAATTCCAAGGCAGAAAGGAGCACTAATGCTTGCAGCTACAGGAGATCAGGGGACCTGATCAAAGGGGCCAGAAGAAATGCTCTAGCACTTGTGGCTGTGGGGGAACAAGGTCCTTTCTTGTGTAAAGACCAGAACACAGGCCATGAGAGAAGTGACTACATCTCTTCTTAGAAGCACTGAAAACCTG